ATCAGATGAGAAATCAGAGTAAGTGTATCATGAGGAGGGAGTAGGGAAGAAGAGAACATGATCTCCTTGAGTTCTTTGTTCTAACTGACCCACACTATTATTTATTGTTTCAAATTCTTGCATGCAAATAATGTGTGTCTATTGTGGGGAAAATTACAAAATGCACATAAGCCAAAAGAAAAACTAACTGAATAAAAATCACTTGCACTCTTCTCATAAGCAGCCTGAGTGACCTCTGAAAACAGTTCGCTATTCACTTGACCCAGCAAACCCCACAAAATCATGCAGATCAAGAGGCTCAAATCTTTGTGTTCCCTTTAAGGACACTCGTAAAATGGCCCAGGCCTTCAAGGGTATGCATATCTGAAAAGCAACCAAGTATCTGAAGGGTATCTGTCACTTTACGGAAGCAATGGGTGCCAGTCCAGCGTTCCAAGAGTGTGTTGGTAGGTGTGCCCAGGCCAAACAGTGGTTCAGTTCCTTTAAAGAGTGCTAAATTTTTTCTGCACAGGATTATAAGTGGCGAGAATGCTGAATTTCAATTTTTAGATGTAGATTATCTGGTCCTCGAGCACATGCAGGTGAACAAGGCTCCCAAGATGCAGCACAGAACTTACGGAGCTTATGCGTGGGTTAACCCCTACATGCGATGGTCCTTACTGAGAAAGAGCAGATGGTTCCTAAACCAGAAGAGGAAGTTGCACAGAAGAAAAGGATAACCCAGAAGAAACAAGAATGGCCTGGGAATAAATTCAACATAAAAAAATGTTAATAAATAAAAAAATCACCCACAATCCCACCACCTGCAGGTGTCTCGAGCTTCGTTTGACCTCAGCAAGCCTAAGCAGTGTGACCGCATGGTGCAACCTAACATCTCTCCCGCTGTCACACAAACACAATCAGACTTGTGGTCCAGAAAGTGCTGCAAATGACAGATAAGATGGTGGCAGCAAAGAGATATTTGGGTTTTTGACAATAATTATGCTCTATCATAGTCTCATTTTAATATTCATAAAACATTTTAGCATTTGCATGATGTAAAATTAAATTTTAAAAAACAAGTTATTTTTTAACCACCAAACTACCTGTTAAGCAAAAAGACTCAGTATAGACAGATAATTCCATCTTTACTGAAAACACTAAACAACATATTAAGAAAAGTCTCTTATTATACAACCACTGGATGCCAGATGCACAAAATTCGTGCAAGAGTAGGCCTTTGCAGCCTCGGCAGCTGCCTGGATCCTTCCCTTGCAGCCGCAGCGGCTGCAGCCCTGACTTCATCTAGAACAGCGGTTCGCAACCTGTGGGTCGTTTTGTGATTAATCACTATGCTTTAATTATGTTCAATTTGTAACAATGAAAATATATCCTGCATGTCAGATATTTACATTATGATTCATAACAGCAGCAAAATTACAGTTATGAGTAGTAATGAAAATAATTTTATGGTTGGGGGTCACCACAACATGAGGAACTGTATTAAAGGGTTGTGGCATTAGGAAGGTTGAGAACCACTGGTCTAGAAGGACGTCTGGTCTAATTAGCATATTATGCTTTTATTATTATAGAAGATTAGTAGTATATTGTGTAGAATTCAATGGTTTTAACCATCATATTGGAGGCAAAATAGCAGTTAGACCTGGGGTTAAATCCTAGCTTCACCACTTATTTCATGACCTTGGGTAAGTCATTCAATCATTATGGGACTAAATTTATTTACCTGTAAAGTGGGGATAATGATATGACTCTTCAGGGAGACTATAGAAATGTTGTGAGGATTAAATAATTTAAGAATATGAGTTTTGCCTGACCGGTGTGGCTCAGTGGATAGAGCATCAGCCTGCAGACTGAGGGGTCCTGGGTTCGATTCCAGTCAAGGGTATGTACCTTGGTTGCAGGCACATCCCCAGTGGGGGGTGTTCAGGAGAAAGCTGATCGATGTTTCTCTCTCATTGATGTTTCTAACTCTCTATCCCTTTTCCTTCCTCTCTGTAAAAAATCAATAAAATATATTTTTAAAAAAGATTATCTTTTCACAATCAAAATGGCCCAAAAAATTTTTGGCTAAGAAAGAAAAAAAGCTCATTTTTCTCCCTTAAGAATTGTGCTGCCAGCTATTAAAATATTTTTACCT